TAGGTTGTTGAATTTATTCTTGTACTGGCATCTACCCACTTCTTCCTCCAATCGGTGCAGGCAGTGTCTGCGCCTCTTGGTCCAATTGGTACAGTCAATGTCTTTGTCTCAGGAAGCCATTGAGGTTGCTGATAGGGTTTGGGGGCAGAGTAGGACTTGCAGATTACAGGGTCAAATTCGGGGGTACAGCAGCCTACCTATAGCAGCCTTGCTTTCTGGGCAGCTAGCGCAGCTGACAAGGGTGGGGAAGGGGCTTGGGGTTTGCTCCAGGGCTTAGGGCCTAGAGGCTGAGCTATCCAGCTGGGAGGCTAGTCACTCACGTCTTGGTTCCACCAGTGTAGTTGCTGTCTGTAAAATCCGTATCTGGAAAAAAAGCAGTCAACAAGTGTCCGTAAAACAGCTGGAATAGATCTGGAACTTGGAGACATTGCAAAAGTTAGGGATTTGAGTTAGCCTGATAAAAAACATCTTTATGTCTTCACTTAGAAAACAACCAAAGGAAACTTAAATCTTAAGTGCTCTACCAGTTTATTTTATTAATGTTAAAATTCTAAACCTCTGAAATCTCAGTGTAATGACATACTTTTAGTCAAGTTTGCAAGTCATACAGGGTGTATAAGATTAATGTCCAAGACCCATTGTCCTGTCAAACCTTCATGTTTCTTTGACTAGTAAAGGAACAGAGAAACACAACCAGAAAAACCTATGATAAATGACTCTTAACATAGCTAGACCAAGCCAATTTTATGGTATGAACCAATTTGATTATTATCTTTTTTAACATTATTAGAAAGTATATTTTACTAGAGACAGGAATAGTTATTATTTGAGAACAGTCATTGTAAGGTATGTTCCTTTAATGAAAAGTTACATCTGACACCTGTTTATTTTTTAATATGAAGCTGGTGAGCAAGGCAAACTTGTTTCTTTTTTTTAAAACAAGAGACCTAGTTGTCTAATTGACAAAGCTATGTTAGCTTAGCCATCAGTGTCAGAGATCTGAGAAGGATTAACCAAAATGGCAGAGGTTAGTTCATAGTCTTTACCTAAGACAGACATCCCAGGCTCCTACAGACTCTGTGACGATGAGGGCAGAGTTATCAGGACAGCAGCCTTGGCTGCCAGGCCCAGAGGATGAGAGGCTTTCCTGTGGAGAAGGAATATGGGGAGATCGGCCTCACCTTGTCTAGGCAAAGTGTGGCATCAACTCTCCAGGGTCCTGCTTGTCCACAGTTTAGGCTGAGCCTTGAAAGAAGATAGATATTGGGGCAGTCTCCCCTAGTGGTCAGCAGGTTAGCATTACCATAGCCCAGGTGGAGTTGTATGTTGTTGTGTCTGTTGACTTCTTGGAGACCTTGGGAATGATAGCTATGATCTGAGAGTCTCTGTCTGTCATGGAAGTTTAAATGTCTTAAATACCATCTCCAGCAAATCTCTGACAGTTTGAGGATTTGAGCCAAACAACTTCAGTTTTTAGCTTGTTCTAGGTTATAGTTTGAAAACCTACAAGAGGCTAGATAAATTTTTTTCTGTACTTGATTACATTAGTCCTTAGCATGACTTATAAGTATAGTTCTGAACATCTTAAGGCTTAATCATCTTTAACAGTTGATAATAAAATAATTTCTGAATTGAAGTTCTTTTTAGTATTAAGGTAAGACTTTTAACTCAGTCTACAAACAGTCTGGGAATATTCCTGATCCTTATATGGTGCACCATTATAGAAACATAACAGTTTTCCCGAATGACTTGGCTTACCAAAATAGCCATAGCTTAACAATGCTGGCAAAAAAAAGGAGGTTGGGCATATATTTTTAAACCAGTTTTTGTAAACCTGAATATATCTTAAGAGAGACATTTTTATTAGCCAGGCATTGGTGGTGCATGCCTTTAATTCCAGCACTAGGGAGGCAGACAGGTAGATCTCCAGAAGTTCAAGGTTGGCCTGATCTACAGAGTGAGTTCCAGGACAGACTCCACAAAGCTAGAGAGAAATCCTATCTTGAAAAACCAAAAAAAGAAAAAATTCTTTAAACCAATGGTTTTTAATTTTTTTGTCGTGCATTGTTATGCAAGCAGATGGCCCTAGACTGCTCCTGTAAAAAGGTCTTTTGACCCCTAGAGTCTTGAGGTTGAAAAACTGCTCCAAGTTGTTTGTCAGATTGCTTAAGGTCACTGTCTTATTATTGCATCATAATATAGAAATAACCCAGTTTTTCATGCTTAGCAGTTGTGGCCCTAACTTCAGTTGGCCAATGACTACATTGGGTGTTTGGGATTCTAGTATAGTATTGAGCCTTTCTCGAAGTGAGCCTTAAAAACCATATTTTGGGGTTGGCATATTTCAGTTGACAAAAACAGAAGCAGAACTAAAGGGGTTAAAAAGCAACATTAACACATTTGAATATTTGCCCAGAACTATAGACACTGATGGATTAGATCTTTGTTTAAAGGCGACCTATGTAGCCTTCTGATTATTAAACCTGTGTTAAAGTTCTGAGTTAACCATTGTGTTACAAATATTACAGATTTTTAACTATGTCCAATAAATTTATAAACCAATAATTCCTTGGTTGCGCAGCTCTGGCTCGTCCTGTTTGCCAATTTGACCCCAGACATAGAGACTTTTAAAGCAAGTCTGGGTGTGGAAAACGGTGAGCCATAACCCAGATCCAGAGCCAGCGATTTAATAAACAGAACAGTCCAAAGCAATTTTAATATTATCTATACCCAGCTGACATTTGGATCCCTATTACATTAGCTTTAATGGCGAGAACGCCCAGAGATTAAATTCTGAGCCCGGCTGGCTGACTGCAACAGTAATGGTTGAGCTGTAGCCGAGACACACAGAGCACAGCAAGCTCATACATTTAAGACCAGTCAGACATGAACATGCAGTGGCCACATTTGTGTATTCAGACATTAAAACAGATTTTTTTTTAAACTTTTGTCAGCTGTAATTTTAAGGAGGGGTATCTTGTTACTCCAATTTTCACAGGCACTGGAGAAAGCTGCCTACAAGCCCAAGCCCTGCCTTCTGCAACCATATATGGTCATTGAGTTATTTCAGGTTGCTGTCCTAGGCAGCGGTGATACTTGGTTTAAAGGAGCTGTGGAGGCAACGCTCCTATAGCAGAGACAACTTGTCAACTTTTCTTTTTGAATATGAAACACTGAGCAACTAAAGAAAACTATAGACAGACAGACATAGACAGACTGCTGCTCGAAGGACAACTTCTGAAAATGGTTAAGAATCAGAGTCAAGGGCGTGGGAGTACTTGACTTCTGTCCCATAGTGCCAGTCTTGAGTGTTGGATACAAAACAAACACTTCAAAAGCAAACAAAAGAATGTAGATTCCTCTGGACCACTGGAGGAAAAACTGAAACCCAGACGATGGCTTGTCGCTGATTGACGGAGCATGACTCCACCTTGTCTATTCAGAGAAGCCAGAGGGATCCAAGATCAAATCCTGTATGGAAAGGTCCTGGAACATCCCCCAGTTCCCCAACCTGTGATCCTCCAGTGCATCCACCCAGACCTTTGCAGGTAGTTTAGAAATGGGTCCCGTCAAAGTACAAGACAAAGCAAAACTAAACGAGACACTCACCGACCGGTCAAAGGTCGTGATCCTGGTGAATCTGGGGGATCCTGGACAAGCCCCCTCATGCTTTCTTCATGAGCCCCCCAGAGACCATCAGTAGTCTGAGATTACATGCAAAAGCAAAGAGTCTTTATTGCAAGTGTAAGCTTGGGCTCTCTGCCCTGTTGTGATGCAGCAGTTGGATCAGAGAGCCCTGAGCTCAGCTATGGTGGGTTTTTTAAGGAGTAAAGGATTGGGGCAAGGGCAGGGAATTCTGGACTCAGATGGGTTTGAACTGCTGATGGGACAGGAGTGGGGCAGCAAAAGTCTTGTCAAACAGGGATTGGTACTGATGTTGCTGCGAGGAAACTGGTAATCTCTGTATAAGTTATGTAAGCTGTTCTTAATGTTCTGGAGCATCTAGTCTCAGTTCTGATTGATCCCCGCAGGGTAAATTTGTGGTTTTTCCAGGTTATAAGGGTGAAGCCCAGTCTCAGTATTGTTAGCCTGCAGCCTGTTATGGCTGCACTGATATCAAGCCTCCTCAGTATCAAGTGGAATCTAGATATAGTTCAAAAAAATTAAAAACATAGCACAATGTCCTGTGGGGACAGTTTATAATTCCTTAATATCAAATATTGAGACTCTTTTTTAAGGTATTTTTAATGTTGCAGATCAAATCCATAATCTCACAGGTTTGCAATTTTTAAAATAGTTGATTTGATTCGGTTTCTATAGGGCTTGCATATTACATTAGGTTGATTTTTCTTCCTTGGAGACCAGACCAAGCTGGACCATGGTGGTGCACACCTTTAATCCCAGCACTTGGGAGGCAGAGGCAGATAGATCTCTGAGTTAGAGGCCAGCCTTGTTACCTGAGCTAGTTCCAGGATAGCCAGGCTTGTCACAGAGAAACTCTGTCTCGAAAAACAAGAGAGCACGTAAGCAGACTATGAAACCAGGCTGTTTTACCTGGAAGTTATCCAATTTGGCTTGATATGTTTCGTTTTTAATATACAATTATCACTTTAAAACAAATCTGCCATTGATATTCTTGAGGAACTGGACCGTTTGTCAATTTCCCATATTCAGGATTTGTTAATTTGTGACCCCATGTATCATTTTGTCATTCTCCTCCTTAATCGTGACTGTTAAATCAAGAGCCTTGATCTATGGGTTTGATGGGGAGGAAGCAAGAGTACTTTACAAAGAGACCTATGGCCTTCTTATCACAGCAAAAATCATTTTTATGTCTCTTTTTGTATGCGTTGCTTTGTTGTTTCTTGTTAATGCTGATTGGTAATTTCAAGTGTTTGATGGTATAATCATCCTGTATGAACCCTTGGCCCTTGGTGATCAGAGGCAATGAAGTGAGGAAAGAGGTATATAAGTGGAGGTGTGAGAGAAAACACAAGGGGTAAAGACTTTTTTTTATTATATTGTAATCAAATATAATGGGTTCACGTATTGTTAAGTGCAAGCCAAAATAAACACAGTCAATATATAAAGATTACTTGTAATGGACAAGAGAGAGCACAGGAGTTCTTCCCAAACAAAGCTCTTCCGACAAAGACAGCATGGGAATTTTATTCAGAGAGCCTATACAAACTCACGTCAGGGGTGGTCCAGTACTAAGCATGCTCAGTTAAGGAGTACATTCCTGAGCAAGCTCAGTGAAATCTCATACTTTACAAAGAAGATATAATAAACACATTCTGAAGCATGGTGAGCTCACACTGATCAACTGACATACCTCAAGGAATGCTCTGCTTATGCCATAAAGTCTCAGTGGCGAGAAAACAAAGGGTACCCCAAGGGTGCATTCACATATAGGATTTTGTTCCTAAGATGCCTGTCTTGCTTAATGACTAATGACATAACTCACTCTGACTAGAACATTCATCGTGAAGAGAAACAGAAAAATCGAACAAAGGATTCTATCAGTTGGTGTTAGGCAAGCTTTTGCCACGGCCTACTCTAGAACTGTCTAGAACTACAACAACACATGAGCAGTCATGTTTTCACAGGAGGCTACACACGAGCCACAGAAAATTCCCAGTTACAAAAGCCAACCCCTACCTCTCTCTCTCTCTGAAGAACCTGCAGGCGACAGAACTATATACTGTACCCAATATGGTATTATCACTTGAGACCAATCAGACACCTGGCAGCAGACCAATAACATGGACTTTCCCAATTTTGGAGTGGCTAGTGGTCCATCATGACAGGGATGAAGACTTATTCTGGGTGTGGATTTGCTGCTCTGCCTTGCAGGGCCTTAGCCTATATTATTGCTACCCAGAGCCTTAAAGAAGGCCTGATCACAGATATGGGATCTAATTTAATTGAGCATCCAAACAAGAATAAGTAAAAAGATAATGTGTGAACTCTGACCGGAGAATCAACAGCGCCATCCAGTCTGATAGAATACCAGGGAACCCACTGAAGGTGTTAGGGATGAGGAAAGATGTCTCCTCCTACGTTCCCTCCAATGTCAAGTGCAGCAGCCAGCTCAGTTCTTATGTTCCTCGGGGAAAAGAATGACAGATAGAGTGAACGCGCTGCCAGGGTTTACTTCAGCAGGTGAGAAGGCAAAGAGGGGAGGGTGGTCTGAGCCACGTGTCAGTGGCAAAGGGAAACCTCCAGCCTCTGGACTCTGTCCACCAGTTTTCCTTCCCTTGTCCATCCTTGGTGGAGTATGAGCAGGTGTCCTTTCTAAAGCAAGTAACTTTCCTAGAAGCCATTACCCACAATTCAGTCTGTTACAATTAGATGCATGCTTATCTATGACGGTGTAACTACCTATAAAGTGTGGATGTTTACTAACGAAAGGGCAATGATGTCTTGCACATGCTCCTGCAAGGGTGAAGGTGGGGCTCCTGGGGCCAGCGGAAACATCTAGAGCCAGGTTTTGTTCTTTCCAGAGTTCTGCACTTTCTCTTCTCTGGGCAGCTTGGCTATTTCATACCCAGTTGCAAACCTTCTTATTTACCTTCCTCAGTTTTCCTGACCTTTGCTGTTCAACCCTAAAATTCATCTCGACCCTAACATTTGTTTCCAGTGTAATAATGGTTTAGCTGACGTGCCAGTTCAGAAGCAGGACTTCAGAAGGATTAAGCGCCATCCTTCAAGAAACAGTAAGTCCACTAACACAGGGCCCTCTAAAGGCGGCGTTCCTACTGAGTTAGGAGAACTAGGCAGAGGAAGCAGAAGTGACCCCACTGACTCGTTAGGGGAGACTGCTTCCTATTCCTATAACCCTTTACTCTGAAGGCTTCCAAATGGATGAATTTCTGTCAGGGAACAACAAGAGTCCCATTAGACTATAAGTTATGGCTACTGTTTGGGCATTGTGAACTCTCTGAAGGTATGAGCAGGCGAGGATTTCCTATCTTAGCAGTGGTAACTGAGCTAGATCAATAAGAAATCAAAATGCTACAAGGCAGAGAAAAACACATAGGTGATCAATTTGGGAACATTTTGATTCCAAATTGTAACCGTGGGAGGACATGTGCAGCAATTCCAGAATGATATGTAAATAATTACCAGCACACATTTTCCATCAGGAATAAGGATCTGGGTCATACGAGGTAAGCCCTTAGGCTTATTAGAAGCACAACTAAAGGGAAATCGGATCTGACAGACAATGGAGTGGAATGATGAGCAGCACTTGCAGCCCGAAGCCCACTGAGTGACAGGAACTGCAGTTTGCCTTCATAAAAGACATTCTCAAGAGGATAGACCCATGGGGATCATGGAGGAGCAGCTTCCCCCACATGGTAGTTATAGAGTGCCCCCGCTCAAATGACACCAATGAAAAGTAGGACTGAAAAGACCATGAAGAAGACAAGAGATATGGATACAAATGCTCGTGAAGGCACAGCAGGGACTGATGGGCATGAAGATAAAGTAGACGACGAAGATGAAAGCCCTGAGTAGGAATTCTGGATAAATTGTTTCCAGAAGGGTCAGAGAGATGACCCAGCCAGTGAGGTGCTCGTCTGCTGTGACGACAGCCCCAGTACTGAGAGGGCCAGACAGGCAGATCCCGGAGTCTCACTGGCCAGCCAGCCTCTCTGAGCTGATGTATTACAGGCTCAGTGAGAGACCTTGCTCCAAACATGAGCCGAAGAGCTGATGAATGGAAACGCCCAAAGTCAGTCTCTGTCCTCCACACCCATGTGCACATATGTGCAGGCATACACACACGAGCAGGTACACATACCACACACGTAAGTATTTCCAGTAGAAACTAATAATGGCATGGTTCATGTGCAAAGATCAAGACACAAAATAAAAACAATACTGAAAATGCCATGAAAGCTGGCAGTACTGAGAAGCAGCTACTGGGCAATAACAAACTAGGAAAGCATTTCTTAATGCTAATGTAAACTTTACTACCATAAAAATGTGAAAAATTCTGCCAAAAAACAAAACAACAGACCCAACCAACCAACCAATCAAAAAACCACACTCACTCACACACACACACACACACACACACACACACACACACACACCTCAGCAAAGACTTATGACAATCCACTAAAACTATGGCTAGCTGTAATGGTAAACTGTGAACGTGAATCACACTGAAAATGAAATGTGACCCCAAAGCCTGGATAGGAAAACATGGGGGGGGTTGATGGTAAGGCTACTGAGCCTGGAGGGTGAGACACTTCTCTAAGTCCTAATGTATCTCCTCTGCTTACCATAAACAAAACTTAAAAGATGTGCTGAAATTTCCCCCAAAAGTTTCCAAGTGACTTCTGAGGTCAAAAAAGAAAAAATCTTGTAATGCAATCAGAAATGTGAACATTGGTGCAGGCTGGGAAGTTCCCTCATCTTGTTTTCCAGGCTGGAACTGAACTCCTGAATTTTGATCTCCCAAAATTTCTTATTCTGTATTCATCATCCTGGTTGAAAAGAAAAAAAATATAAAAGGGAAAAACATCAAAACAGTCACCTTGGCATATACAAACTATTTTAGTATTATTTACAGTACACACACACACAGGGAGGGAGGGGAGGGAGGGAGAGAGAGAGAGAGCGAGAGAGCAAACTGAGGACTATAGCTAGCCAACAGTCTTCCAAGTGTATCTTGGGGATTCATCATTTAAGCTACGAGCTGTAAACTTCTGGATTTTTCCCCACCAATGGCTGAGCCCAGCCATGTCTGTTCAAAACTGGGACCTCTCAAGTTATTTCCTGCACTTTGGAGTCTTCTTATTGCCATGACCAAGACTTTCTTGGAGCTCTATTGCAGAGCCTACACCACTCTTGAAGACTCTCTTGGTCTACTTCTTTCTCCCTTGATTTTAAACCCCATTTCCTTTCATCAATGCTTACTTCTATCTTGCTTACTTCTCTAAGACTCAGACTAAGTTTTGTACTGCAGGATGTCTAGTATTCCTGAAGCCTCCTAAAATGCTATCACATTAGTCCCCAATCCTTAGGCAATATCTAGTTTATAAAACACTTCTTTTGAGAACAACTCAGAGTATGATTATTAAGATCACAAAATTTTACTTATAAATTAAAAAATGAGAGAAGCTTGGTTACTTCTTTTTTCCTTACTCTCAGTTATTTTTTCTATTCTATTTCTAGTCTCTTCTAGTCTAATTCCTTACCCTCAATTGAAATTGATAACTTTATAAGTTATATAAGGTTGTAAGTATCAAAAGGCTGTATAGCTTCAGAATTCAGAGAAAAAATTAGAAAGCAATTATCTCTCAGTGGTAAACATGGAAAAAATCAGCACATAGTGGAGATATTTATGTAAATAACCTACCCTTTGAACTCTTTGTGAGTATAATGCTTTGAGCCACAGTGTTTTCCACGTCTAGTCCAGGAAGATGCTCTTTGAAAATGGAGGTGCTGTGAAATAACCAATAGTAGGTAGTATCATCTATAAAAGTGAAGAACTATAGTTGAACATTTCTCTCTTGCCCACAAGTTCCCAAATAACCACTCAGAGGCTTAATATTACTTATAAATGCTCGACCCATAGCTCAGACTTGTTATGAGTTAACTCTTACACTTAAATTAACCATACTTATTTACTATCTGCCACATGGCAGTACCTTTATTGGTATGGCACGCTCATCTCCTGCTCCCACTGTGTTTGCCTGGTGACTCCTCAGACTCTGCTTTATACTTTCCATCATTCTTAGTTTGATCACCCAGCCTATACTTCCCGACTGGCTACTGGTCAATCAGAATTTTATTGTACCAATCCGAGTGACAAATCTTTACAGTGTACAAGAGAATCATCCCACAGCAGGAACTTTGGCATATAGTTGTTCAATGGGGATGTAAAAGTGCTTAATTTTTTTTAAAATAATGGTAAACATGATTATCTACTCTTTCAGAGAACTTATTATTTGGAGTATGCATCTTTATGGAGAACATTACTCTCCAAGGGGACAAAAATTGGGTTTGGGACAAGCTCTTTAGATATTACCATGATTTTTGGTATTCCAAGGAGCCCAAGTATAGAAACAGATATTCAATATATTTGTTTTAGGTTTTCATGGTCATGTGCTGTGAAAAACAGGGGTATGTGTTAGGGGTAGTGCCTAAAATGTCTCCTGAGCATCAATTATGAAAACAGAAATCTTGTCTAGAGGAGAAAAAGAAAAAAAGGAAAGAAGGTGAATGAGAACCTAAGGGAAAGCATAATTACTAAAGAGAACGTGGGGTTGGAGAGATGGCTCAGCCGTTAAAGGCTAGGCTTACAACCAAAAATATAAGAGAATGTGAGAAAGAGAAGCTAACAGATGAAGGAAAAATGTGTGTATATTTTAAGACAAATATCGTCTCATTTCCCACTAAACTATAGAAAACAGAACATTCCCCACCCTTGACATTCCATAAAACAAGCTATTCCTTATATATTATTTCTGTCCCTGGCAACAAGCTATGAAATGTGGAAAGTAAAAAGTAATACTGCAATGCCTGCTCTCTGTTAAAAGACTTCTTATATCCCACAGCATTCTATGTTCAAACACTTCAAATGTCCTCCCTTTTTCTTATTTAAAATTTAAACTTGTAAAAAAAATTTCCTTACTAGGTTTCTCAAGTACTATTATTCCAGGAATTAGTAACTTTGGTTGATAATACCAAAGCCTTTAATTTTATAGCATCTACCCCCTTTGATCTTCCATAATAGACTAGCTCATTTATTACTGTTTGGGCACTTTTTTTTTCTGCAGTTTGAATGTATTCCTCAATGTTATAGAGTGTTGTTCACCCAGTATTGGTTTCCAGATGCTTTATGTATAAGAAAATTTACAGATGCTCAAACTCCTTTTATAAAACATATTTGTATATAACCTATAAGTCTCCTGTATCCTTTAAAATTAGACTCCCCCTCTCTCTTTCTATCTCTTTATCTTTGGTTTTTTGAGATGGAATTTCTCTCTGTATAGTCTTGGCTGTCCTGGAAGTTGCTCTGTAGCCCAGACTGGCCTCGAACTCACAGATATCTGTCTGCCTCTGCCACCCAAGTGCAGATTAAAGGTGTGCGCCACCACTACCTGGTTCTAAAACCTATATTATTTATTGTTACAGTTTAGATCTTAAATGCCCTCCTGAAAGATTTTTTGGTAAACAGCGATTTCCCAGTGTGGTACAATTAGGAGGTGGTAGAGCCTTTTTAATGGGTAGGGCCTACTAGGAGGTCTTTATTATGGGCAGCATGCCCTGGAAGGGAATAGTGGAACACCATCCCGCCCACTTCTTATTTCTTCACTTCTTACCCATGAGTGGTTTTCATTCTTCCTAATACTTCCAATTCTTTAAAATAGTTCAAGTTTTGGTGACCCCCAACCAAAAAATTATTTTCGTTGCTACTTCATAACTGAAATTTTGCTACTGCTATTATAATTTTATTTGTGTAATGTAGATATCTGTGTTTTCTGAGGGTCTTAGGCGACCCCTGTGAAAAGGTCATTTGACCCATAGGTTGAGAATCAACGAACTCTGCATTGCTTGCCGTGGTGTGTTGCCTCACTAGTGGCCCCCAAAGGGACAAATGATTATGCACAACAATCCCAAACTGCAAGATACAATAAACTTTTTTCTAAATTGATCATCTCAAGTTTTTGTTATAAGCTGACACACATATAAAGCCTACTACAATAGAAATACTATGTAATTAAGGAATGACAAAATTTTTGGATGTACTCAGTACATCACAATTTTTTTTCTAGTTCTTAGATTCAGGGTTTCTATGTGAAGTTCTGGATGTCCTAGAACTCGTTATGGAGACCAGGCTGGCTTCTAACTCAGGGCCTTGAACTCAGCCTGTCTCTGTCTGCCGTAGCTTGTTCTACCACACCTGGCCATAATTATTTTTCACTATCAAAAGGTTAGTGGTTGATATGACTGTGCTTATCATGTTCACCATGTGTAATGGTTTTTAAATCAAAAGGTACTCACATGGGTTCAATTTAACTTATGTTTGAGCATATGAACGGGTCTCACACAGCATTTTCATATAGTTATGTGTGCCAATATGCTTTATTCGTACCTCTCCTTCAATGCCCATTCTCCCTACTCTCCTTTTAAAATTAAGAGTGTGTGTGTGTGTGCATGCATGAGCATGATGTGCATGCATGGCACACATGCAAAGGTCAGAGGACAACTTGATGGAGTCTGTTCTCTCCTTCCACTTTTAGGTGGGTTCCCAGGATCATACTCAGATTTGGGCGGCAAGTGCTTTTACTGGTGAACTCATATTGCAAGCCTTCTCCTCCTCCTCCAAATAATTTCCTTTCTGTTTTCATCAGACACAATCTTTTCAAATGGATATTTTCCATCTCACAGAGTCCATGGATATCAACATATTGGTCCTGAGGGCTGACTCGTGTTTCATTTTCCTGAGAGCAGGAACACTAAGCAGTTTCCTAACTGCTGGTCAAATTTCTCAGTATTTTGATATCAGGAGGGGAGTGGCCTTCCTAGCAGTAATTAGTGTTTCAATGAACCAAAAGGTGTAATTTCTATTAATACTTTTAAATATATAAGCTGTTGTGGCATAGTTAATATAGAATAAAATGCACATATCTTAGATATTCAGTTTGTTGAGTTTTGAGAACTGCATTATAAGTAACTTGACACAAAGTATAGGATTGTTTATCATTAAGATGCTTTAGACTCTTTTTCTACTATATTGCTGTGTCTTAAAGTCGCCTTGAAATTTATAAAACTTTTTCTTGGATTCCATATGAACAGAACCAAATATCATGTACTCTGATGTGCCCAGCTTCTTGTTTATAGTAATATTTGTGAGATTTATTCATGTTGTTGAGTGTATAGACAACATGTTCCTTTTATTGCTTACTTGTAGTCTAGTGTGTGACTGTATAATTTTCATATTTTTATGTTCCCGAGATAGGCGAGTGGCTACTTTTTGAATAAGGTTCTTCTAAACATGTAGTATTCTCATGAACTTGAATTTCATTTCAGTCAAGTAACTGAGATGAATGGATCGTGCATAGGTTAGGTTAGATTGCTGTTTAAATTAAACTGTGAACGTTCACTAACGAATGTTGTCCTAACACCAGTGATGTGTGAGTTCCAGCTGCGTACATCGTTACTGACATTAGGGCTCTACAAGACCGACTGCAGCTCCTCAGCATGTGAAGTGGAATCCACTATACTAGACCTGCATTTCTCATGACTAAAGATGAACTGAACAGTCTTTGTTTTATCAAGATACTCATAAAATTTATCCCTTAATCATTTAAAATTTTAGGTTAATTTATTCATTTTTCATTTTTTTGAGCCAGGGTCTCATTTAGTCCAGGTTGTTTTCAAAATTTCTATGTAGCATAGGATGATCCTGAAGTCCTGATTTCAGGAGTTGCTCCCACTTCTTATGTGCTATGATTCCAGGAGTGTGTTTCATTATGCTCGGCCCCTTAATTATTTAAAAATGTATGATACAGAGGAATGAAATGCATTCATAATGTTGCACTATAACCCATCTCCAGAACTCTTTTTTCATCCTGAACTGATATTTTGAACTCATTAAGCAGTAACTTCTGGTTTCTACCTTCCCCCCGGAGTTGGCAGCTATTATCCTGTGATTTAAGTTAAGAAACTAAGTGGAAAAATAAATATTCTTCTATTTATTATCTTTTTCTGGCTGGTTATATTCTATTGCATAACTAACCCCCATGCTCACAGTGAACCCATGCTGTAGCATAGGCCAGGACATCCTTTATAATAGTAGACAGTGTTTTATTGATGAATATTACCATGTTTTACCTATTCATCCAGGCACAGACATTTTTGTTTCCACGTTTTAGCTGTTTTGAATAATTTTGCTACACACATGGATTTATCTCTGAGCTTCTGCTCTCAACTGTTTTGGGTACATACTACAAGTGGAATACTGGATTATTCTTAACTTTGTGTCCAACTGTCACCCTGGTTTTCAGAGTGGTTTTACAATCTTGCCATCAATTCACAAGAGTTTCAATGTCTCCAGTCTCACCAGGATTTGTTACTTCCTGGGGTGTGTATTAGGTGCGGATAGTCATTTTAACGAGTGTGCAATGGTGATTCAATTTTGATATACATTTGATTCATGATACTGAGCATCTTTTTATGTGCCTATTTGCCATCACTGGAGAAATGCCTATACTTTCTGTACCTCTTGCCCCTTTTCAGAATGGGTCTCACTTGCAGTTCAGGCTGGCCTCAAGATCATATTCCTTCTGCTTCCACCATTTCCACTTTCAGCTTTTTATTTTGTGCTGGGATTACAGGTATATACATAGGTTTATGTGCATGCTAGGCAAGACTCCACCAGTTAGGCTACACCCCTAGTTCCAACCCTGAATTTTATTTTTATTTCAGTTTTTCAAGTCTTTGCTTATGCTCACGTGTACTCAGGTGGCTGAGGAGGCCAGAAGAGGACACAGGATTCTCCTGAGTTGGAATTACAGGCAGTTGTTCGCTGCCTGATGTGGATGCTTGGAACTCTGGTCCTCTACCAGAGCACTGAACCATTTCTCCAACTTCCCAGCCTTTCAACTGCATTGTTCTCGAGTTCAGTGCTCCACATACCTGTGTATCTTATAAATGATTTACAAATATTTTATCCTTATCTATGAGTCAGTTTTTACCATTGATAGTGTCTTTCATGCATGTGTATATGAGTGTATGCATACGTGTGGAGGACAGAGAACAACCTTGGGTGTTTGTGTGCCAGTATTACATTGTTTTTATTACTATGGCTCTGTCATATAATTTGAAAACAGGCACTATCCTTTCTCGAGCGTTTTCCCCTTCAGGATTGCTTTGACTATCTGGGGTCTTTCATATGACCATATGAAGTTTTGCGTTTTTTTTTTTTCTCCCCTGCTATAGAAACTTTTGTGTTAATGCTATGCCTGATTTTAATGAAAGCAGATTTCCTATTTCACCATTAAGTTTTCAAAAAATGATAATCAATCTACTTGAGGAAGTTCCCTTCTGTTCTTAGCTTGCTGAAACTTTCTAATGTCAATGAGTTTTGAATTTTGTAAAATATTTTTTCTGTATCTATTGGGACTATGGCTTTGTTCTATTAGTATTATGCTTCAGTAATATTATTATATTCTTATAATAATATTATCAATCCTTGCCCTATATTAAATTTAATCCTCTTTGGTCATGGTATCTAATTTTCTTTTTTTTTTTTTTAAAGATTTATTTATTTATTATGTATACAGTGTTCTGTCTGCATGTATGCCACCAGACCAGAAGAGGGCACCAGATCTCATTATAGATGGTTGTGAGCCAACATGTGGTTGCTGGGAATTGAACTCAGGACCTCTGGAAGAGCAGGCAGCGCTCCTAACCTCTGAGCCATCTCTCCAGCCTGGTATCTAATTTTCTTTCTTTTATTTTTGTTTTTCGAGACAGGGTTTCTCTGTAGCTTTGGGGCCTGTCCCAGAACTAGCTCTTGTAGACCAGGCTGGTCTCAAACTCACAGAGATTCACCTGCCTCTGCCTCCCAAGTGCTGGGATTAACGGTGTGCACCACCACTGCCTGGTGATATCTAATTTTCTATATTGTAAACTTTAATATGCTAATATTTTGAGAATTTAAAAGTCTTTTTATGAAGAACATTAGTCTGTGATTTTCTTATAAAATGTTCTTGACAGATGTTGGTACTGAGATTATGCTGAACTCATAAAACTGGAGAGTGTTTCTTATTGTTTTGTTTTCTGAAACAGGATAGAAATGGAACACTCCCTAAAAATGTCTGATAACATTCACTAGTACAGTTATATGGACCTGGGGTTCCCTTTGCCAGGTTTTTGATTATAAATTGCTCTACACTGAGTGACTTAATCTTTTATTCCTTTTGTGTCAGCTCCTGCCTTGCCTCCAACCCTTCCTTCCCTTGGGTCTCACACGCTAGCAAGTGTTCTGTCACTGAGTTCTACCCCCAGCTTCATGGCAGTTTTGGCAACCTAACTTGCTTTTATTACTAGCATAAGGAACCCAAGTATCTCTCTAAAAGCTACATAATTCTATTAGTACTGGTAAATTTACACATGCAAAAACAAATGACAGGTAAGAGAAAGGAAATGTGTATAACAGAAAGATATATGTGCAGAAGGAGCAAAAATAATCGCGTGGCAGACAGAATTACAGGACAGTGTGAAAAATACTGTGAGGGACACAGAAAATATAGGAGAGTGTTAGTCCAGGAAGAAAAGTTAGAATCAAGATATGCAAGTGGTAAGTTAGCTTGTAGATCTACAGGTAAATTAATCAATCTCATGACAAAAAAACATCAAACAAAAGCATCCTACACTCAGATCCCAAGATCACACACTTGTGAGGGTCTACAGTGAATTCATTCTCCTTTCCCTGGCACATCTTTAATTAAAAAATAAAGTATAACTTTACTTTCATAAAATGATGTTTATGAATTAAAAATTCCAAACAAGGTTATCCAAAAGATAAAAATCACTGTCTTACATTCATTTACATTTTTGTACTTTTATATCAACATACATGCATCCATATTCTGTACACTGTGATTTGTATTTTGCTTTTATTTTTGGGCAAATACAACCCATAGTCTATGGACATATGTAATGGACCGCTTAAAGGGTCTAGAGTCTTCTACTGAATGAACACATTCTCTTTTGCCAACTTTTAGTATTCAGGTGTTGAAAGTTATACTTGATCTTTTAAGAGTTGCATGTCGGGAATGTTTTTCTTCTTGCGAATGATATAAATGCATTTTCTATGGCTATTGTCAATTTTATGGGTGTATTAATTACAATTTTTGTTGTTTCATGCAGTTTATTTCGTTATTGGAAAAGGCCTTTCTAACCTCAGGGTGATCAATATATTCACCTTTGAGTTCTAGTTTAAAAATGTTACTATTTTTAGTTACATGTGTCTACACGTGGGTACATGCACTCGAGTGCAGGTGCTCACAGAGGTCAAAGGTGTCAGATTCCTCTGCAGCTGTAGTTACAGGCAGGTGTGAGCAGCAGGACCTGGGTTCTGGGAATCGAATTTGGATCTGTCGGAAAAGCGGGAAGCGCTCTATACCACCGAGCCATCTCTTCAGCACAGATTTTCTATTTTTTGTAATGGTTTAATTTTTTTTCTGTAAGTGTTCATTTAGCATTTACTCTTGTGTGAGAGCTTTTCTTCCACTCGCTTTTCCTCGTAGTCATCTTTTCCACACTTACCAGAGATTTCGAACGGGTGGTTTCACTGGTTGCTACAGTTGATTTCAGGATCTGGGAAAACCGTAAAACAAAACTGAATCCACACAATTCGGGGTTAAGGTCATCTATAAAAATGCCGCATCACTGGTTCGGCAAATTATTACTGTCAATGTCACATTCAGAATTTCCGGTTTCTCTATTCTGGTCGGACTGTGTCTCCCACGTATCTAATTTACATAACACTATGCTTCTGATGCACCCCACCCCCATTAAAAAAAAAACCGCCACAGCTCTGTTGCCCTTGTACTAGGAGGTCAGAGATACAAACAGAAGCTACGCTATTGACACAGACGCCTGTTTCTCCCATGGCGCTGGAAGCCTAGTTCATTTCAGACTTTAGGTAACAAATATTGTCAAAGGTGGCACCAAGTTTCAACTTTAGTTAACAGCCTGAAGATCAGGAACTCACTGTCACTTTCTAAGAGGAGGCGAGCCTACGGGATGACACTGGGGCAGGAGGGCCTGATCTGACTTCTCTGGTGACAAGTTGGGGGGCGACACCGCACTCTCAGGCTGACTGAGTGCCAGAGCCCGAAAATCCGCCCAGCAGGCACGATGACAGGCGGCCAGCAGGGACAGAGGTAGCGGCCCTCAAAAAAAGGAGGCGTGACAAGGGCGGGAGGAGGGCAGAGCGTCCCTCAACCCACCGGGCTTCGGGCTTTGAGGTGAGATCGGCTCACGACACGAGTGTCAGGGGCGAGACCTGCCGATCCTCGGGCTCGCGGGCTTTCGATGCAGCCCACAGGGGATGTCCCAAAGCGGCGTCCACACTTTGACCACCGCAGCAGCCGCAGCCGCAGCCGCAGCCGCAGCCG